GGCACGAAGCAGGATACGAACACAGCTTTCAGCATTCTTCCATCACCCCCTCGCCTCATTGGTTCTCCAATACGCCACGGTCCAGTTCCCACTCTTCACAAGTCTGCACTTTCAAATTAAAGCTTGCAAAGCCTGTTCCCATACATTTTCTCATTTGTACTCACAAAAACTCTGGGAAAAAAAGTATCATTAAGCTCCCATTTTACAGTGAAGGCAGAGACTCATAGAGGCACTAGCAATACACAGGCAACTGACAATGCAGTGAGTCTGGGACCCGATTACCTGATAGAAATCCTATGGTCCTTTCATTACTCTACCCTAAACTGTCGACTAGGTAAAGCAAAACCAAAAAAGAAGGGCTGTGCATTTATATTTCTATTGCAGTTTTCTTTCTTTGCAGTGGAATTTTTACCTGGCAATTGAAGTTTTGAAACTGTTGATTGTTAAAATAATGACAGATACTTGAAAGTGATATTTAGTTGGGCTTAAGAAACAAAGTAAATAGAGCAGAGAGAACAGAGTCATGAATGCTGTCATGTAAAGAATAACACTAATAAATTAAGGGGGGAAAGGGGCACTGCTTTTGCCCCAAATATTTACCTAGCACTCACCTTTGTCCTGAAATATCCCACCTCCACACCCAGCTCCTGGTTAATAAACATAATTTTGTTGATGTCCCCTGAACTGTATAATCTGTTCCACAAAAAACAAACCCACAGTTTGTCTCCAAGCCACTTTTAAGTCCCTAACTCCCTGGTTACATTCAGTCTATGGAAAACATCTGTGGCAAAGTAAATCATCCTACTCTGAGAAAGACCAGAGTGTATTTTTTTTTTTTTCTCTCTGAGTGTGTTTTGAAGTCCTGGTTGGAAAATTAGTGAAAATTGTAAATCTATTTGCAAATCTGGTCATGTCTAACTCTGAGATTAGGGCAAAGATTCCAATTTAAAAGTAAAACCGTGACAACCCTAGTTAAGCGTGTCCTCAGGCACTGCCAGCAAAGCCTCCACTCACTTCCACAGGCAGTGGATTTATTACAGCACCCGACACGTTCCCCATCAGACACCCCTGGAGTATTTACTTGAGACAGCAGGGTTCAGTCGGCACTTCCTCTGCAGACCAATATATTATTATAAATTGAGCTAAACTGTTTCCTTTTCATAAGTGCTATGAAGTTCAGATTTCAGATACCAACACGGGGCTGAAGTCCCTTCCTCTACGGGGCTCCTTATGCTATTTGGATTTAAAAGTAAAGAGAAAAGGCAGCATTAGACTATGGTTGCTTTTACTTTTCGAATTTTTTAAAAAAGAGATGAAGTAAGATTCATTTCAGAAATTAAATATGACATCCTAATAAAATATATATTCTAAATGCAGACTTTGGGATACACTGTGCTGTGTTTGGCACAGTTCAGTCGGATACCAACTATCTCACCTCCATCTAAAAACAAGACATGGGAAATCAAGAGAAGATTTTACATTATGTCTTGGATATCAGCTCCTGTAACACTAACTTCTTCTGCTTACCATGTACAACAGCTCAAGGGGACCCAATGCATATTTTACAATGTATATTCATTATAACACAAAAATCAAATGAATAATGTCATTATTTAATATTTTGATTATAATCCCTTTTTTTTTTTGAGATGGAGTTTCATGCTTGTTACCCAGGCTGGAGCACAATAGCACGATCTTGGCTCACTATAACCTCTACCTTCTGGGTTCAAACAATTCTCCTGCCTAAGCCTTCTAAGTAGCTGGGTACAGGGCCCCCACCACACTTGGCTATTTTTTTTATTTATAGTGGTGACAGGGTTCTACCACATTGGCTAGGCTGCTCTCAAACTCCTGACCTCAGGTGATCCGCCCACCTTGGTCTCACAAAGTGCTGGGATTTCAGGCATGAGCCACTGCACCCAGCCTATAATTCAGTTCTTAAACCCTGAGAAACCCATAACTTTAAGAAAACTAAAAAAGAAACAAACAGAACATCGTTATCTTTTCTTCCCTTCCTGAACAATTTAGTCCTAAAGCCATTAGGTGAGGCACAGACAACATGCCAGGGGAAGAAGGTGGCACAGGAGCCCGGAGCAGGGGTCAGTGCCAAGCAGGTGAGGAGGGCATCCCTGTGGGAGGAGGAGGAGTGGCCTGACATGGGGCATCAGACCCTGAGAGGGATAAGCTGATGAGATACCATCCATGCTTAATATTAGCTGGGTAGCCATGATTAAGTAACTACATAAATTTAACCTCAATTTCTTCGTTTGCAATATGGCTAATATTTGCTTCTCTGGATTACTGAGAAGAATAAAAGAATGTTTGTCATTAATTCCCAGTAAATCTGGTTTTTATTCATATTACTACAATTCCAGACATATCTATGTACAGAAAATGACTGAAAAGAAATATATTAAATCAGGCATGAGTCTGATTTTCATATTCTTTTTTCCTTTCACACTTTCCAGAGTTTATCTCAAATAAGCATATATTGCTTTTTTGGTCAGAAAGAACACATAAAATATTATTAAGTATATGTAATTTTTAGAGTACCTATTTACTACTTTTATTATTTATTTATTTATTTATTTATTTATTTTGAGACTGAATCTTGCTCTGTTGCCCAGGCCAGAGTGCAGTGGCATAATTTCAGCTCACTGCAACCTCCACCTGCTGGGTTCAAGCAATTCTCATGCCTCAGCCTCCCAAAGTGTTGGGATTATAGGTGTGAGCCACAGTGCCCGGCCATTTTTATGTTTTTTTTTTTTAAATTACAAAGCTATTTTAAAAGATATCATTCCGGCTCTTATTTCTTTGAAAGATATACATTGCTGATAGAAACTTCTGAACAAAGTAACCAAAGGAAAGTGATTTGTTGGCTAATATTAATACCTATTAAGACTCAGGCCAAATGTCCATATTTGGGTGGTACAAAAACAACATGAAATAAAGTTTACCTACAAATGACACTCAGTGAGGGGGTAGGGACTTCAGAAAATAAACTTACTTTCTGAGGTCAGGCAGGACAAGACAGTAGGGAAGAGAGAACCTTTTAACACTGAACACATTCCCACATAGAGATTTCAGTGGATTTCAGTGTACTGGGATCAAGTTGAAATAGCCCAATCTAGAACAGGAAAAGCACTGCATAAGATGCCTGCCACCCATTCTGGTCCCTGTTCTACCTCATAACTAAGTGAACTTATGAAGATCACTTAAAAACAGAACATTATCTGCCACCTCCCTCACAAAGCATACGGGAGATTTAGGCTGCTTATGTGACACTGATGTGTAAACTGCAAAGCAATGTTCAAATGGAAGGCAAGAGATTAAGGGCATACTTAGATAGGTGTTCAACAAATGCAGAAATCTCCCCATGAGAAGAATTTAAGAGGTAAAGGGGCATTGCATTAAATGCCATTGAGTCAACACGATTTGAGAGAGTCCCTAAATAATGATCTTCCGATCCTCCTGCAGACATTAAGGAGAAAGTCTCAGACTAGTACCACTACACGGTTAACACCTCTCTAATCGTTACTAATCTCCCTTTTTAACAAACACAAAATAGGACTCAGACTCAGATCTCCAGCAAGCGGAAGTAGCAGGCACTTGGTACTGTTCTGGTTTCTCTATATTTTTGTTTCTAAAATCCTTCTAATTATGCCTAGTGATACTAGATTTCCATTTAAGACAGTAATGTAAAATCTCATGTTAAAATAAATTCGATTCGGTGAAAGATTAAAAAGTTACTTTATTTAGGCAGAAGTACATGGATATGACCAAAACCTTGAAGCTGATGAGCTAAAATTTGGAAAATGCTTAATGGCAGAATGGTCTAAAGAGCTATTCCATATTCTGAATTCCAAAAAGGCAAGAACCAAGATTCATTTACCTCCAATATCTCCCCTGAAACTTTACACAGTACCTGGAACATAGTGGACTCTAAAATACTCAATTACCTGAGAATCAACTCCTATCATAATTACTGGGCTTCAGCCCTGGTTCTTCCTGGCTCCAATCAACACATGAGTAGATTTCTCCAGGTAGATAGGAGTGAGATAAACCACAAATAATCAGGAACTAGAGCCAACTAGAGAATAAACCCTGAAAAGCTTTGTGAGTAAAAAAGAATACTGTTTGCACATGGCACACTGGAAAACAAGTAGAGAAAGTCCAAAAATAAAATTAAGAACTTACAGCAAAGAAGAAAAAAACAAATGCCACTGCTTCAGTTAGCCTAACTACAGCTGAGATATTGCCTCCCAAAGAACTAAACGACAAATCGAGAGAAAGGCCCCATTGTCAGGTCAGCTGTTCCTGAGAAGAAACAACACTCAAAACTAGAAAAAACTCTCTCACTACTAAAAACTAATACAGACAGAGAAGGATTTTTAAAAGTTTTACTGACAAGTAAAACTTGACTGGGATGATTTAATAGCTCTGATAAGAATCCAGAAAAATGATTAGCATATTTGAGAAACTTCACATCTACTTAGAATAAAAAGAAAAACAACTTTAAAAAATTTAGGGCCAGGCATGGTGACTCATGCCTGTGGTCCCAGCACTTTGGGAGGGTGAGGCGGGTGGATCACCTGAGGTCAGGAGTTCGAGACCAGCCTGGACAATGTGGTGAAACCCCGTCTCTACTAAAAATACAAAAATTAGCTCGGTGTGGTGGTGTGTGCCTGTCATCCCAGCTACTTGGGAGGCTGAGGAAGGAGAATCGTTTGAACCTGGGAGGTGAAGATTGCAATGAGCAGACATTGCGCCACCGCCCTCAAGCCTGGGCAACAAGAATAAAGCTCTGTCTCAGGAAAAAAAAAAAAAAATTAGCAATATCTCAGAAAAGAAAACCTAGTTACATGTTCTTATAAAGAAGTTTCATTATTCATATAAAATACTCCAAATGTTTATTTGATAAGACATATCCAAAATATATACCCAATAATCTAAATTTAGACACTAGAGTTTCAATATAATTTTGATTTTCCAAAGATTACCAAGCATGAAATAGCAGTCTCCTTGGTGAAGGGGTATCGCCAAACCAGGGGTCTCTATGTCCCATGAGATCTTAAAACCAACATGCCAAGTATCAGGATCTCTGCCTTCGAGATTAGAGTCATCATCACTTTCCACTTCTGGGCCTGCCAAAAGAGAAGAAAATGATCAGAAAGGAAATGTTTAAGCTTCTGGATTTTACAATGCTTATTTTAGAAAGAATTGACATTTTAATAAAATATGAATATTAAGTGAAACATATCTTTATGTCATATTTTTACAAGATATTCTAGGATAGTTTTAACATGTCATTAATTTTTTTTCATCAGGAAACCTTAAATAGGCCAGGTGTGAAGGCTCACGCCTATAATCCCAGCATTTCGGGAGACCAAGGGGGTAGGATCACTTAAAGCCAGGCGTTCAAGACCAGTCTGGGCAAGAAATCAAGAAACCCATCTCTACAGAAAAAGAAAAAAATTACCTTTTAAAAACAAAGAACAGATGTAAAGACAAAATATGTACTTAGGAAATAAGATTGAACATCACAGAACTGTCAGTTCTCCCTAAATTCATCTAGAAATTTTACATAATTTAAATAAAAAGATCAAAGGGATAGTTTTTCTAGGTGAGTGGGGTTAATAACTAGAAAAGTTGTTTCTATAACACAAATGGAAATATAAACAAGCAAAAATAGCCAAGGAATGTTTTTCTAAATATATAAAGAACAACCACACATCAATAAGATAAAGGCCAATAGACAATTTAAAAACAGCATGTTATAAAGACATAATACATAAAAGGAAATAACAAACATATAAAAATATGTTCCGACTTATTCACATAAAAATGCATATTAAAGCCAAAAGAGAAGCTTTTTCACCTATCAAATCAGAAAAATCAGTTTCAAGACAATACAGTATTAGTAAGAGTACACAAAATGGCACACTCACACTCTCTGTAGAGGACAATTTGGCAATACTATCAAAATTACAAATGCATAAGCTCTCTGACTTTTACAGAAATTACACTTTTAGAAATGTATACTAAAAGTCCTATATTCAGGGGTTGTAAAATGACTGTTGAGCAAGTATATTTATTGTAGTATTGCTTATAAGGGCAAAAGATCAGAAATAACTCAAATGTTCATCAGTAGGTTTCTGGTTAAATAAATCATCATCTCTCCAGACAATAAAATACTATGTAGTCACCAAAATAATATGACTATATACAGATATGGACATATCTAATATATTTTCAGAGAAAAAAATAAATATACTATATTCATATAAAAAATAAAGTACAGGCTAGGTGCAGTGGCTCACACCTGTAATCCCAGCACTTGGGGAGGCCAAGGCAGGAGCATTGCTTGAGCTCAGGAGTTCAGGATCAGCCTGGACAACATGGTGGAACCCTATCTCTACAAAAAAAAAAAAAAAAAAAAAAAAAAAAAATTAGTCTGGCATAGTGGCATGCGCCTGTGGCTCCAGCTACTCAGGAGGCTGAGGTGGGGGGATTGCTGGAGCCTGGGAGGTCGAGGCTGCCATGAGTTGTGATTACACCACTGCACTCCATCCTGGGCGACAGAGTGAGGTTCTGCCTCAAAATAAATATAAGTAAATAAATAAATAAATTTCAAGCACATATAATATTTCTGGTAGGATACTCAAGCTGATTTTTCTGGAGGGATAATATAATATTGATAATACCTCTGGAAGGATATACAAGACTGGAATATAACATTTCTGGAAGGTGAATACTGAAGACTGATTTCTCTGGGGTATAAGACTGACTGGGAGACACACCAAAAAAAGAAGGTATACACTATGTTTTGCTATATCAGTATATAATCATTATATAGTGATTATATACTATATAATCACAGCCCTGCAGGAACAACCCTACCTACATAAAACTTTTCAAAGTTAATTTAAAAAATATTTATTGAGCACTTATTATTCACTGGGCATTGCGCCCGGCACGGGGGATATGTCACTGACTGAAACAAAGAGCTATGTCCCAATGGAGCTTTTCCTTTTAGTGGAACTGTAAACGTGCATCACTGATTACCATGAAGGGGACATTTTACATTTAAATTCCACCAAACTTTAAACTCTTGTACTAGACTCTGATCTTTCAGGGCAGAGTCTGTTTTGCTATTTCATCCACAATTACAGCCCTAGTAACTGGCACAGGGAAGGCATTCAATGAACACCATGGCTTGCTTAAACAAAATGTTCTTTTAGTTCACACTATTCACAGTAGTTGTGCTAGACGGCAGGGAAAGAAAATGTTAATTTGGAAGAAAAAAAAAAACAAAAATAACCTCAAATTTAAAACCAAAGGACATAAGAAAGCATGGCATTGCTGCTAAACTAGTACAGTGCTCAGTACTGAAGAAGTTTAGAGAAGAGAGAGGGTCAGCGACAGAACTAGAGCAGAACTCTTAGAGAAGGTCAAACCTGCAAGACTGGCAGAGGGCAGAATAAGAAGTAATGAGAGAAGACAAAACAACACTGCATGCTTTCCTTGGGCTGTTTCATGTACATATCACATAAACAGTTTTAAAAATGCATGCATCCCAGATGACACACACAGAATCCCTAAATTCTGAACATCATACTCTACAGCCAACTGTGTAGAAGGATCAAAAGCAGTAAAAGGAAGTAGAAAAAAAGAACTCTCCTTTATAACTATTCATTCACATTAATTTGCACTAGGCATGGTGAAAATGAACAAGTCAGAAAGCCAAGTTCATGGTCTCTGCAAGGAAGGAATGTTGCTAAGTAACTTTTAAGGACACATCTTACTTTGGATATTCTTCAGCCCCCTGAGTTTGCTCTAAAATCTAATACTACTATATTAACAGAATCTCACCTTTTTCTTAATACCTGCCATTCTAATACATGTTTTCTCAAGTATTTTCCAATTAAGAGCATCTTTTAATTGGGTTTTTTAAAGAACAACATTAAAAGTCTAAAGCCATTTCCTAGGTTAATCCCAAAAACACTTTTTTAGAAACCCTCTAGAAGGGGAGTGATAAATACCTTAATATCAGGGGACATGACTGATTGGGTGATTGTGGCTTTTTAGAGCCCTAGTGGAGAAGAAATCTGAAACTTTCTCCAAGTTCAGCAGGAAAGAGCATTATGATCAACAACTGATGTCTGTCATGGGCACTACAAGGGTTAGTCAGCAGCAGCACCAGCGCTAGGTAGTTGCTATCCACATCTGATGACATTCTACAAGCACTTCTTATTTATACATAATACATAGTTGCACTTGAAAATACCAGAATTTGCCAAACTAGAGCTCGTGGACCAGAAAAGAACTCACAAAGGTGTGTAGCTTGACCTGCACCACATTTCCTTAATAAATCTAAATGAGTTGTTAACTGATAAAAGTTGTCTAACAATCCAACTTCTCAGCTACCCTTGAATCACAAGGTCTGCTATCACTGAGCCAGTCCCAAGTGGCTATAGGGAAGAAGTTGCTGCTCATTTTAGACAAGGGATGTGATCTCTGCAAGCCAGTCCTCACAGCCATTTCACTTTACTCATTTGAGGTACCTGCCTAGATGCCATAGCAAAGTCTGTGACTCTTGATCTAGGGCTGGGTTGCGGTGATCACAGGCAAATCAATCCCATGACCTGCATTTGTAAAATAAAGTTTAACTAGAACACAGTAATGCCAATTCGTTTACATAAATAGCTGCTTTCAAACAGACAGCAAGGTTGAGGAGATAAGACACATACTATAAGACCCACAAAGCCAAAAATATTTATTTCTGGCCCTTTAGAAAAAAAAAATTTGCCAGCTCCTATTCGAAAGTCTTGATATTTGTGATTTGATGTCTGCTGCACATTTTAGTAAAGAAGTTGAGGTTGCATAAACTAATTATGATGTAATATGACTAATACCTAATAATATAACATGACTAGTGATACCATACAACATAATAAAATAATTAATGCTAAATTAGTTGATATCCAGATCACTTTAGCAAAAGAATACTGATAAATTCAAATATCAAAAATTATGTTGGCAGAGTGCAGTGACTCCCACCCGTAATCCCAGCACTTTGGGAAGCCAAGGTGGGTGGATCATGAGGTTAGGAGTTTGAGACTAGCCTGGCAAAGATGGTGAAACTGTCTTGACTAAAAAACACAAAAATGAGCCAGGCACAATGGTGGGCACCTGTAATCCCAGCTACTTGGGAAGCTAAGGAAGCAGAATCACTTGAACCCAGGAGATAGAGATTGCAATGAGCAGAGATCACGCCACTGCACTCTAGCCTGAAAAAAAAAAAAAATTATTATTATGTTTGTGATAACCCAAGACCTCAGGCTGCTTCATTCCAGGGGACCCTAATGATGACAGATATAGCAAACAGCACAAGAAAAAAAAAAAAAGGAAATATTTTAGGAAGGGTTTTTCACATGTCCCCTTCTGGTCAAATCAACTATAACTTCTACCATTGAAATCCACACAAAATTAAAAAGAAATGAAAAGGAAAACAACTATAATGACTTTTAAAATAAATAATTTTTAAACTACAATGAACAGTTTTCGGGAAGTTTTAATGCCACCACGTGTGGACATTCTAACACATGGGAATCTTTATAGGCTAATAGTCTCCTTGACTACTTTCCTTTCTAACTTTCATCCTGGTACTCTTCTCAATCTGGCCTCAATAAAATCAGAGACAATAATTGCAATCAGTGTTTCTTGATGTCTCCCCAAAATCCAGCACCTTTGAAATCTGCTTATTAAAATGACATTTTGGTGAGAGTTTTTCCACTCCTTGGGCTGTGTAGGGAGGAGGAAAGTTGTACATCTGATAATTTTTTTATTGTGAAATACAGTGTTCTTACTTCTCAATGAAATCAACTTGTAATTACCTATAGCAACTGTAACTGATTACTCTTGCCCCATGTTATTTTGGCAACAACCAGAGGCAACAGGTTCTTACTTGCCTTTAAGCCTCAATAAAATTTAAAAGATTTTAAGTACCTCAGGGTTTGGTCCACTCCCAGCTCCCACTAACCAAACTGTTAAATAAGAAGATGTGACAAAATACAAAAGACTGTTAAGTTTAAAAGTCGAATTTCAATTGTCGAAAACTTCCCCCCAAAATTAACCAATTCAG